TGATAAACCATAGCCTCAGGAAGTAGAGGTGCTTAGGGACCCCTGATAAACCATAGCCTCAGGAAGTAGAGGTGCTTAGGGACCCCTGATAAACCATAGCCTCAGGAAGTAGAGGTGCTTAGGGACCCCTGATAAACCATAGCCTCAGGAAGTAGAGGTGCTGAGGGTGATGCAGCGCCCCCTGAAAAATCAGAATTTAAAAAAAGATGACCTCTCTACCTCTCTAGTAGTGAGTTTCGTAGGGAATTATTTCAGTTAATCAGAAAGTCAGGGTTAGTTAAGAGAATATAGCGGTATAGATAGGTCGTCACCGGCCACATACTCCAGTACAGTAAGTGGCAGTGTCACCTGTAAGTTGGTTGCAATTTTCCAATAAAACTTAAAGAAGAAGAAGGGGGTGGGGATGTTCTTCTACATTAGCTAGCCTACTGTAGATGGACAGACTGTAGCTAGCCTGCTGTAGATGGACAGACTGTAGCTAGCCTGCTGTAGCTAGCCTGCTGTAGATGGACAGACTGTAGCTAGCCTACTGTAGATGGACAGACTGTAGCTAGCCTACTGTAGATGGACAGACTGTAGCTAGCCTGCTGTAGATGGACAGACTGTAGCTAGCCTGCTGTAGATGGACAGACTGTAGCTAGCCTGCTGTAGCTAGCCTGCTGTAGATGGACAGACTGTAGCTAGCCTGCTATAGATGGACAGACTGTAGCTAGTCTGCTGTAGATGGACAGACTGTAGCTAGCCTGCTGTAGATGGACAGACTGTAGCTAGCCTGCTGTAGATGGACAGACTGTAGCTAGTCTGCTGTAGATGGACAGACTGTAGCTAGCCTGCTGTAGATGGACAGACTGTAGCTAGCCTGCTGTAGATGGACAGACTGTAGCTAGCCTGCTGTAGATGGACAGACTGTAGCTAGTCTGCTGTAGATGGACAGACTGTAGCTAGCCTGCTGTAGATGGACAGACTGTAGCTAGCCTGCTGTAGATGGACAGACTGTAGCCAGCCTGCTGTAGTTGGACAGACTGTAGCTAGCCTACTGTAGATGGACAGACTGTAGCTAGTCTGCTGTAGATGGACAGACTGTAGCTAGCCTGCTGTAGATGGACAGACTGTAGCTAGCCTGCTGTAGATGGACAGACTGTAGCTAGCCTGCTGTAGATGGACAGACTGTAGCTAGCCTGCTGTTGTAGCTAGCCTGCTGTAGATGGACAGACTGTAGCTAGCCTGCTGTAGATGGACAGACTGTAGCTAGCCTACTGTAGATGGACAAATTTAGCGACAATGGGATAAGAGACAAGCGTAGTAGCTAATCATTTTCATCAACGGCGTAATTTTATTTCAATAACGTTGGCCTCATCACAATGCTAGATCTTGGAAATCAAAAGCACTTGTAGTCTAACGTTAGCCAACCGTTTCACAGCTAGAAAGGGGATTTCCTAGCTAGCTAGTAATCCATTAGTTAGTTAGCTAACGTTAAATGAACCATTTTGAAATACAAAAGTAAATTTGGTCAATTCAAAATCAACGCATTAGATAGCTATGTTGTCAAGCGATGTTGCACAAAGGGAGCCGGTACTGTAGTTAACGTCGTTATCCACTTTTTGACATTTTAACTAGCTGACTATCTCTTAGTAGCTAGCTAAAGTAGCTAGTTACAGTAACTAGGTAACGTTATCTTCAGTCTGCTAATCGCCTACACGGAGAGACCAGAGCCAAGGGGTGTACGACAAAGAGTTAGCCAGCTACATTCACTTTGATAAACATAGTGTCCAAGCAAAAACGCATATTTTGATCAGTGGGTAAAATAATGTTGCTGTAATTGTGTTAGATAATTCATTCAAAATGAATACAGTAAATCAAATAGAGGCCAGAGATAAAAGTGGTCAGAAATGTGGAAAATAACATTTGCTGGATGCTGTGTGAGAATGAATGCTACCTGACAGGTTTACCGTTCAACTCGTCATGTTCAGAACCTAAAACTATGTAGAGGAAAGATAGATAACGATGAGACATGACATGGAGTATATTTATAGGATGTACCGCAAGTTTTTTTTCTTTCTTCCAAAGCCTTTTCCATTTAATTCAGCCCCTGTCATGCTAGATTTGCTATTTACAACCCGCAAGAAACAACTTCGAAGAAGATGAACACAAAATTTAAAATTCTCAAAAGTTTTGGTGAGAAAGCCTCACCTTGCTGTCAGCTCAGATAGAGGTTACTAAATCCGACTTTTTGGATATAATGTTAATGATATGTTGGGAATTATATTTGTTTAGGTAAAATGTATTTTATAACATAAGAAAGTGAAATGTCATCACCAGAAAGTACTTGATTTTCTGGTTCATAAAAAAAAGCTAAACTTATATGTATTTGGTTGTTGAGTCAATTAGACCAAGCACATTTCAAGCGTATCTAAAAAATCTAATAAAAAAATCAGGATGTTTAAGCATGTTAACTGGCTAATTACTGGATTCTGCTTTGTAGTACACCCCTCCGCAGCTACTACAGCAGTTAGTTAGCGAAACCAGATGCATGAATTCTGCCTAACCTTGAATTTATTTATTCTTTACATGGAACAGATGTGTAGCTTCAAAACAACAAACCAGAAATGTCTAGGTCTTGGAACATATCAGAGCCAAATATGATCATTCCCTTGGCATCTCATCATTCAGATTCCGCCTCAAACATTCTGTATCATTCAGCCCTGTCTGTCAGAGGGTAAATCCATTTGAATTCAATCGCTTTTTGACAGCACCCCCTTTGATTTTGAACAAAACCTTACATACAGTGCATTTGGAAAGTATTCAGACCCCTTGCCTTTTTCCACATTTTGTTACCTTACTGCCTTATTCTAAAATTGATTAAATACATTTTAATCAAAGGTGCTTCAACAAATACTGAGTAAAGGGTCTGAATACTTATGTAAATGTCATATTTCTGTTTTTAATTTTTTATAAATTTGCAAAAAAGGGGAAAAAACAATTGAATCTATTTTAGAATAAGGCTGTAACATAACAATGTGGAAAAAGTCAAGGGGTCTGAATACTTTCCGAATGCACTATTGTATATTTGTCCATTGTAGAAGTGCTCAGAAAGTGACTTTGTGGAACTGAATGCAAAAGCATGCAAGAGATAAAAGTGCTCATAGTTGACCTATTTTGCATAGCCACCCATATACCATTAGATATCCATGTCTTCATCACTGGAAAATATAAATGGTTGAGATTGATATAATTTAAAAGCTTACAAACAGTGTTGTCAAAAATGGAATTTCTTGCCAAAAATCTATCCTCCATACGAAACCTATTGAAATCTTAGTAATATAGACATTACCATTTAAATTGACATTCAACGGTGGGTGGACCGGCGGGCGTCTTTGTGGTAGTCATTTAGAAGTACACATTTCAATTTCAATGGTGTACCTGTGACACTCTGGCTCCGGGACTTTTGTATTTGAGCCAGGGTGTATTTGTTTTGTTGGGTTTTGTTGTGGGGTTTGTTGTATAGGGTGTATTCGGTTGGTTGGGTTTTGGGTGAGTAATTGTGGTGTCGTGTGACTCCCAATCGGAGGTAACGAGTGTCAGCTGTCGGCTCGTTATCTCTGATTGGGAGCCATATTTATCTAAATGTTTTCCTGTGGGTATGGTGGGTTTTTGTTCCAAGTTTAGTCTTTGTTACTGTTGGACTTCACTTTCGTCTTTTGTTTTGTATTGACGTGCTTTTCTAATTAAAAGTCATCATGTTCACTCGCAACGCTGCGCCTTGGTCTCCTGTTTTAGACGATCGTGACAGTACCAGCTAAATTGCAGTGGTCTATGAATTCTATTTCTATGATTGAAATGACACCCACCGTGTATTCAAGAGCATGCTGTGTCTCAACCGATGGCGGCACGACACAAAAACCTCCACTGATGTAAAGTAGGGTCTAAGCTACAAAATATACGCATATTAAACAAATCGGAGTTCATGCGTTTTTAGATAATTGACGTTAAATGTCAATTTATATTTATATATTTATATTAAATTTGTAGTAAAAAAAAATAAAAATTATAGAAATTATAACATTGTTTGACAACCCTATTTGTAAGATTTTAAATTATATCAATCTCAACCGTTTGGATGTCTCATGGTATGGTGGGGTATGCAAAATGGGTCAACTTTGAGTACCTCACTTGCTGACCATTTATTTTATGGGCAAACGTGTGGAAAGTTTTGTTTTAATCAAAAGGGATGACGTCCAAAAGTGATTGAATTTACCACTCTGTGAACAGCCCTGTCTGTCTGCTTCTCTGTGAACAGCCCTGTCTGTCTGCTTCTCTGTGAACAGCCCTGTCTGTCTGCTTCTCTGTGAACAGCCCTGTCTGTCTGCTTCTCTGTGAACAGCCCTGTCTGTCTGCTTCTCTGTGAACAGCCCTGTCTGTCTGCTTCTCTGTGAACAGCCCAGTCTGTCTGCTTCTCTGTGAACAGCCCAGTCTGTCTGCTTCTCTGTGAACAGCCCTGTCTGTCTGCTTCTCTGTGAACAGCCCTGTCTGTCTGCTTCTCTGTCGACAGCCCAGTCTGTCTGCTTCTCTGTCGACAGCCCTGTCTGTCTGCTTCTCTGTGAACAGCCCTGTCTGTCTGCTTCTCTGTCGACAGCCCTGTCTGTCTGCTTCTCTGTCGACAGCCCAGTCTGTCTGCTTCTCTGTCGACAGCCCTGTCTGTCTGCTTGGGTTGTATTCACTAGGCTCCAAACGAAAGAAAACGGACTGAAAGGGAGGGACTGAACTCTGTTTCTAAACGTTTTCCCATGGTGTACACTAATGAACAGAACCCTGGTTATTATGATTATGATTATGATCAGATCTCTACAGCTCCAGTTGGCAGGTCCATGATCCACAGTGACTTCTTAAAGGAGCAGTTGTCTTGGTAATCAAAAGGAAGCAAAGGGAAAAGACTAAGTGACTTCATGCCGAAGTCCTCATCGATGTACTTTCCAGTCTAGCTCGGGTCCTTCTTCCATCAGTCTTCTGTATGATGTTTACATTATCATTCTGTGGGTGTTGCTGACCTCCTATGGAAGAGGACCCAGCAGCAGCAGTGCCATGCGTGGGTTTCACTCCAAGCTGGACTTGTCCTCCTCTGCAGGGGGTGCTGGGGGTACGGGCGGCTCCATGCTCCTGAGCCTGGCTGTGGAGACAGAGAGAGCCCGGGCCCTGCTCCAGACCTTCTCCTCTGCCTCCCTGGGGGCCTTCTGTGTGCTGGCTGACCACGTCATGCAGCTGACCCTGCTCCAACAGCAGCGCTCGACAACACCGTCCATGGTCTGATAGGCCTCTGGTCCTGGACTATAGTTACAGGCCTCAGGAAGAAGAGTGACTTCTATTAAATAATATTAGCAGGGATACTGGCCTCTCTTCTGGAGCTGGACCACTTCTATATGGCTGGCTTTCTGTCTCTCAAAGTAAGGAAGTGTTAATGAAGCATAGATAATAATAAATAATAATAATAAGCCATTTAGCAGACGCTTTTATCCAAAGCGACTTACAGTCATGCGTGCATACATTTTTGTGTATGGGTGGTCCCGGGGATTGAACCCACTACCCTGGCGTTACAAGCGCCGTGCTCTACCAGCTGAGCTACAGAGCTTCCATCAATAGCCTTTTATTATAGACAGACAAGTTTCATGTCTCTGATATCTGCAATCAAGAACCTTTCATCACAGACAAACAAGTGTAATGTCTCTGATATCTTCCATCAATAGCCTTTTATCATAGACAGACAGACAAGTTTCATATCTGAGATCTTCAATCAACAACCTTTTATATTTTCTGCTATTGGCACGTCTATTGTCTAATCTGTTTCCTCTCCTCCTCCCCCTCCCCCTCCTCCTCCTCCTCATCCTCCTTCTCCTCCTGCCCCTCCTCCTCCTCCATCTCCTCCTCCATCTCCTCCTCCTCCTCCATCTCCTCCTCCTCCATCTCCTCCTCCTCCATCTCCTCCTGCCCCTCCTCTTCCTCCTGCTCCTCCTCCATCTCCTCCTCCTCCTCCTCCCGCTCCTCCTCCTCCTCCATCTCCTCCTGCTCCTCCATCTCCTCCTCCTCCTCCTCCTCCAGGCAGCCTCCAGCCTGCCCCCCCCCTCCCCTCCACTGCTCCTCTCTAGTCCCTGTCCTCTGCCTCTCTCTGAGGCGGGTGCTGTGGCTGGGCAGGCTAAAGGACTCATGGTGCTCTCTACCCTGGCTGCTCTTTATCTCCCTGGCCTCACACCACATCAGAGACGGGGTCCGCCGTGGCCTGTGGGTGTGTCCGTTCGGCAACACGGCCCCCATCTCCTATTGGCTGTATGTGATCATCACAGCCACCCTGCCACACCTGTGCTCTGTGCTCATGTACCTGACAGGAACTAGAAGACATGATGTCCACCAAGCACGGCATCGCCATCGACGTCTGAGGGACAGGAAGTGCCAACACTGTTGAGCAGTGCAGGCTGCTGAGAGGAGGACGGCTCGTAATAATGGCTGGAACGGAGTGAATGGAATGGTATCAAACACATGGAAACCATGTTGGATGTGTTTGATACCATTCCACTGAAAACGCTCCAGCCATTATCACGAGCCCATCCTCCCGAATGATACCATTCCACTGATAACGCTCCAGCCATTACCACGAGCCCATCCTCCCGAATGATACCATTCCACTGATAACGCTCCAGCCATTATCACGAGCCCATCCTCCCGAATGATACCATTCCACTGATAACGCTCCAGCCATTACCACGAGCCCATCCTCCCGAATGATACCATTCCACTGATAACGCTCCAGCCATTACCACGAGCCCATCCTCCCGAATGAAGGTGCCACCTACCTCCTGTGCTATTGATGAGTCCTTAATAGTACCCTATTCCCTTTGTAGTGCACTACTTTAGACCAGGATATTCTGTTTGTGAGACAACATCAGCGCCACGTCACCAGATCAGGTTCCTGGTGTGTGTAAATGTACTTGGTAATTAGAGCTGGTTCTGGTTGTCATTAAGGACCCATAGACTTCACTATGTAGGGAATAGGGTGTCATTTGGGACCCATAGACTTCACTATGTAGGGAATAGGGTGTCATTTGGGACCCATAGACTTCACTATGTAGGGAATAGGGTGTCATTTGGGACCCATAGACTTCACTATGTAGGGAATAGGGTGTCATTTGGGACCCATAGACTTCACTATGTAGGGAATAGGGTGTCATTTGGGACCCATAGACTTCACTATGTAAGGAATAGGGTGTCATTTGGGACGTTGACAATCCCACAACGCTTAGTGCTATCCAGAATCCTTGGGACGTCCCTACACTAAACCTTAACCATAACCCCTTACCCTAACCATAACCTAACCTTAACCTAACCATAACTCCTTACCCTAACCATAACCTAACCATAACCATAACTCCTAACCCTAACCATAACTCCTAACCCTAACCATAACCCCTTACCCTAACCATAACTCCTTACCCTAACCATAACCTAACCTTAACCTAACCATAACTCCTTACCCTAACCATAACCTAACCATAACCATAACTCCTAACCCTAACCATAACTCGTAACCCTAACCATAACTCGTAACCCTAACCATAACTCCTTACCCTAACCATAACCTAACCTTAACCTAACCATAACTCCTTACCCTAACCATAACCTAACCTTAACCTAACCATAACCTAACCTTAACCTAACCATAACTCCTTACCCTAACCATAACCTAACCATAACCATAACTCCTAACCCTAACCATAACTCCTAACCCTAACCATAACTCGTAACCCTAACCATAACTCCTTACCCTAACCATAACCTAACCTTAACCTAACCATAACTCCTTACCCTAACCATAACCATAACCTAACCTAACCTAACCATAACTCCTAACCCTAACCATAACTCCTTACCCTAACCATAACCTAACCTTAACCTAACCATAACTCCTAACCCTAACCATAACCCCTTACCCTAACCATAACCATAACCTAACCTGTTTTACATTTCAACTTCAATGGGGTGACGTCAGAGTCTGGACTTCCCAAGGATCCCTTTAGACTTTTCCATCCCACAATGCCTCAGCCTCACTCATCTCCTTCACACCATGGGAGTGATCACTGTCAGTACAGTCCTGTAGTGTGTCAGTCTGTGTCCTGTGTGACTGTCAGTACAGTCCTGTAGTGTGTCAGTCTGTGTCCTGTGTGACTGTCAGTACAGTCCTGTAGTGTGTCAGTCTGTGTCCGTGGTGACTGTCAGTACAGTCCTGTAGTGTGTCAGTCTGTGTCCTGTGTGACTGTCAGTACAGTCCTGTAGTGTGTCAGTCTGTGTCCTGTGTGACTGTCAGTACAGTCCTGTAGTGTGTCAAGTCTGTTTGTTTCCTGTGTGGACTGTCAGTACAGTACTGCGTGTGTCAGTTCTGGTGTCCTGGTGATGTCAGTACAGTGTCAGTCTGTGTCCTGTGTGACTGTCAGTACAGTCCTGTAGTGTGTCAGTCTGTGTCCTGTGTGACTGTCAGTACAGTCCTGTAGTGTGTCAGTCTGTGTCCTGTGTGACTGTCAGTACAGTCCTGTAGTGTGTCAGTCTGTGTCCTGTGTGACTGTCAGTACAGTCCTGTAGTGTCAGTCGTGTCCTGTGTGACTGTCAGTACAGTCCTGTAGTGTGTCCGTCTGTGTCCTGTGTGACTGTCAGTACAGTCCTGTAGTGTGTCAGTCTGTGTCCTGTGTGACTGTCAGTACAGTACTGTAGTGTGTGTTGAAGTGTTTGCTGGATGATGATCATGGTGAGCTGACAGATCAACTGAAAGGAAACGGCTACGTTCTGATTGCCTACCCCTTCTCCTGAAGGCTGACATGGATTTAAAAGGAAGGGATTGGTGTGATGATATGGTGGAAAATCCATCCAGCCATGCTTGCACCAATCCAATGCTTTTAAAAACCACACATAAAATAATGTGTGCTTTCAACCTGCTTGTACTTACAAATGGCAAATACATTCAACCTGCTTGTACTTACAAATGGCAAATACATTCAACCTGCTTGTACTTACAAATGGCAAATACATTCAACCTGCAGTACAGTACATTATGTATGTAGCTGAAGGTATTAGGGAACAGAGCAGTACATTCTGTATGTAGCTGAAGGTCTTAGGGAACAGAGCAGTACATTCTGTATATAGCTGAAGGTCTTAGGGAACAGAGCAGTACATTCTGTATGTAGCTGAAGGTATTAGGGAACAGAGCAGTACATTCTGTATGTAGCTGAATGTCTTAGGGAACAGAGCAGTACATTCTGTATGTAGCTGAAGGTCTTAGGGAACAGAGCAGTACATTCTGTATGTAGCTGAAGGTCTTAGGGAACAGAGCAGTACATTCTGTATGTAGCTGAAAGTATTAGGGAACAGAGCAGTACATTCTGTATGTAGCTGAAGGTCTTAGGGAACAGAGCAGTACATTCTGTATGTAGCTGAAGGTCTTAGGGAACAGAGCAGTACATTCTCAATGAAGCTGAAGGTCTTAGGGAACAGAGCAGTACATTCTGTATGAAGCTGAAGGTCTTAGGGAACAGAGCAGTACATTCTGTATGTAGCTGAAGGTCTTAGGGAACAGAGCAGTACATTCTGTATGTAGCTGAAGGTATTAGGGAACAGAGCAGTACATTCTGTATGTAGCTGAATGTCTTAGGGAACAGAGCAGTACATTCTGTATGAAGCTGAAAGTATTAGGGAACAGAGCAGTACATTCTGTATGTAGCTGAAAGTATTAGGGAACAGAGCAGTACATTCTGTATGTAGCTGAAGGTCTTAGGGAACAGAGCAGTACATTCTGTATGTAGCTGAAGGTCTTAGGGAACAGAGCAGTACATTATGTATGTAGCTGAAGGTCTTAGGGAACAGAGCAGTACATTCTGTATATAGCTGAAGGTCTTAGGGAACAGAGCAGTACATTCTGTATGTAGCTGAAGGTATTAGGGAACAGAGCAGTACATTCTGTATGTAGCTGAAGGTCTTAGGGAACAGAGCAGTACATTCTGTATGTAGCTGAAGGTCTTAGGGAACAGAGCAGTACATTCTGTATGTAGCTGAAAGTATTAGGGAACAGAGCAGTACATTCTGTATGTAGCTGAAGGTCTTAGGGAACAGAGCAGTACATTCTGTATGTAGCTGAAGGTCTTAGGGAACAGAGCAGTACATTCTCAATGAAGCTGAAGGTCTTAGGGAACAGAGCAGTACATTCTTCTATGTGTTTCTTATTGGTGGATCCTCCTGTTGCTGTCTGATATTATGTGATGATGCAGTGCACGTTAGGCCATGATGTATTAACATGATATGTTTTTCTGAAAGGCTGAGGTGTGGGGAAGCCCAGGTGTACGAGGGGGCCAGGCTGAGGTGTGGGGAAGCCCAGGTGTACGAGGGGGCCAGGCTGAGGTGTGGGGAAGCCCGGTGTACGAGGGGGCCAGGCTGAGGTGTGGGGAAGCCCAGGTGTACGAGGGGGCCAGGCTGAGGTGTGGGGAAGCCCAGGTGTACGAGGGGGCCAGGCTGAGGTGTGGGGAAGCCCAGGTGTACGAGGGGGCCAGGCTGAGGTGTGGGGAAGCCCAGGTGTACGAGGGGGCCAGGCTGAGGTGTGGGGAAGCCCAGGTGTACGAGGGGGCCAGGCTGAGGTGTGGGGAAGCCCAGGTGTACGAGGGGGCCAGGCTGAGGTGTGGGGAAGCCCAGGTGTACGAGGGGGCCAGGCTGAGGTGTGGGGAAGCCCAGGTGTACGAGGGGGCCAGGCTGAGGTGTGGGGAAGCCCAGGTGTACGAGGGGGCCAGGCTGAGGTGTGGGGAAGCCCAGGTGTACGAGGGGGCCAGGCTGAGGTGTGGGGAAGCCCAGGTGTACGAGGGGGCCTGTTAGGCTATTGTTGTGTTAAGATCTTTTTTATCCATATAGTCCAGGGAAGATTACATTTAGAGCAACATTTTTTAAACATTCCTTTAATAGGTTCATAGTTTGTGATCATGATATTTAAATTCTGTTAGTTTCTGTCTTTCACATAATATGGTGTTGATGAGCGAGGGAAGTGCTGCAGCACTGACCTGCAGGGGGCATCAATGAGTCAAGTTGAATTTATTTTCCATTTGTAAGTACAAGCAGGTTGAATATATTTGCCATTTGTAAGGACAAGCAGGTTGAATGTATTTGCCATTTGTAAGGACAAGCATGTTGAATGTATTTGCCATTTGTAAGGACAAGCAGGTTGAATGTATTTGCCATTTGTAAGTACAAGCAGGTTGAATGTATTTGCCATTTGTAAGGACAAGCAGGTGGAATGTATTTTCCATTTGTAAGGACAAGCAGGCCTACACACACTGTACATTGGAATTT